GCAGTGAACTTATTGATGCGTTAGCTAAGCCCCCATGTTAGAGGCGTGTTGTGTCTTACGATTAAAGACCAAGCAGTTGCCTCTAGAGTTCCGTCCACAGCATCATCAACGTTGATGATAGTTGCAGATGAGTTGGGCTCTAGATCCACGGTGGCGTTGAGGTCGATTCGTACAATGGGATTTTCATCCGGAATCTTGACTTGGGCATGCGCAGCAGCAGCGTATAGCAGAATAATAGCGACTGAGTGCAACATATGGAATGACTAGATTGATGGAACGAGTGGTATGACTTGCAAAACGAATAGCGGATGAAACAGCAACTGCATTTGACATCAGGAAACACTTCAAGTTAAATAGTAATTGAGAATTTGCCTGCATCAGATAACTGAAGTTTAACATCAGCTTATAAGCTTTCATCTGGATGCCGTTTAGAGAATTCTGCTTGTTGATAATAGGAGTTGTGTAGAGGTTAACGTATTCGTTATCGTCTAGACACCTGATTGGCTAAATGATACGAGCGCTTGGTAGATAGACGAGTTGAAATAAGTTTTAGCTCCGCAGTGCAGCTTGGACCACTAGGCAGCTGGACATGGGCTATCTGGTGCAAGGGTCACGAGGCCCCAGATACAATGACAAGAGGAACTTCCAAGGCCCTTGATGTGGCTAGTCCTGTTGAACAGTAGGGCTCAATTGACACATCACAGCCCCATCATACCCATCAGTGTATGTGGGAGGCTGAGCAACTCTAACTGCCTTGAATGCACAGCCCCACCTACAGGACGGGGCGTTGAACTTGCTGCGGCTCGGCTCCCAGGTATGTTTTTGATTGTTTCTTAAAACTGCCCTTGCTGTTCAAATAAAAACTGAGCATGGAGCTTCAGAGTATCCTGATATTACGCACATCTCTGTTCAAAGCGAGGTTGCTCTGACAAGCTTACCTGGGAAACTGATTGGACCGCGTATATAGCTTTAGCAAGACAGAGATATGCGGACTAACTACGGAATGCTAGCTTGTTCTCGCAAACACTTGGTTGCGCTAGAACATTGGTTTCGAAGCCTCAACAACGGGGTTTGTGTCTCTGGTCACCGGAACTGCACCACAATGGCGAAGCGTAACTAAACAGCCATCCACAGGAAAGGCGAACCATCTTCCTCCACTCCAGGAGTACACATCAGCAAGAGTAAACTTCATATATGATTCATTCTCATACACTAGATTCAATGGATCAAACCAAGTGAGACCCCGGCCGTAGGTCGTGTCTAGACGACCCCTGTTGGTATTCTGAGTGGAAATGACGGCCTTGCATCAGCCCATCTTGGCGGTGCTTGCGTGGATCAAGAATTGGCGGAGAATTTCCTAAACGCCGTCGGAAGTCAGAAATTGACTCGAGTCGCTTGTCGACGGATGATAAATAGGTAGGGATAAAATCGATGTGTAGTGTTTCGAATGAGAACGAGGGAGGAAATGCCAATTGATGTGTTCATAAAGACGAAGAAACCCCTATGGCAACAGACACAAGAACCTTTTTGAATGAACTTTCCCTGTATATGAGACCAAATTCCCACTCAAGTTCTTGACTTCGTGAAAAGCTAATGGAACAACAGATCCAGCTGCTTTGAGCCAGTTCGAGTTTGACCGCCCTGTGAGTTATACACTCATGTTGGGGCCAATACACGTGGAAAGCCAAACCCATGCATACTTATTAGCATTAGCTGCATAGGCGGTAGTCATCCCGCCAAGGTCATTAAATCCGAGAGAACGCGGCCGAAAGGCTGTCACCCAATAAATGTTGCATACAAATGGGACCTTGCATACGTAGAGAGGGATGGACCGTTGGTTGCTCCGCAAAGGTTGCAGGCCGCCAGTCTTACACGCAGTACCACTAGCCCTCAATGCGGAAGGCGGAAACCGATATCAAGCGCCGAGGGTAACATTGACAGGGTAGATTTTCAGGGGTACTACAGCTTGTAAGCACCAGTGACTTCCAGCTATGAGACCATGGGCAAGTATCCCGCGTCCATCACGCAGGAACTGTGCGTGTTTATCGATTTCAAAGCCAATCTAGACCCCAGGAAGAAGAGACTCGCAGCCACGCGATGCAACGAGTGCGAACAATATCTCGTATTCGTCAATGTCTTGGCGTGCAGAGTTGTGGCACGATGGCTCGATGTTTTGTACATCAACTTTAAAAAGCCCCCCGTGGTGTCAACGTTGAGTGACGCATGCATTCTGTCCTTTGGAAGTGCACCCTCTTACAAAATGGTTTCTTATTTGAAGCTCAAGCTTCTGGCAGCTGCAGTCAGCGTCTCGGCGTGCACCCTGCCGACGGATCCTTCATCCAACAACATTACCACTGGCTTCGGCATTCAGGTCCAGAATCCCGCTGCACCCATTGTTCACAACCGCTATATGAACCTTTGGTCGGCGGGTGGAGGCGACCAGCACCTCTATCTTAGTCCCGCTGGAGATGCAGCGTTCAACCTTACCCTTGACAACGGTGTCATTTCTCGCGGCATTATTCATGCCGTCATCAATGGAGAGGTAAGTTCGTCGCATGTTGCGTCAATATTGAAGGCTAATCAAGATGTCACAGTACACTGCGGATGACAACACCACCAAGTTGTTTATGACAGAACGCGGCGACCCCAAGGCTTACTTCCAGCCTGTCTATGGTTGCAACCCCGATACGGATGCGGTGCAGCTTGAATTGGACTTTATATCAAGGGCTGCCCTTCCAGGTGGCTTCATTTGTGTGAGAAGTGCGTCCGGCGACAGACACGAGTTCCGCTACTCTCCCCCTGGCAATACTGGTAAGTATTTCTCGAGTTCCACACAAGCAAGCTGCCTAACAATTCATCAAGCCGTCCGTGAAGACCGTCCTTGCTACGAGGTTACACTGGCCGTGGTCCAAGCCCCAGCTGCCTAGTTCGCGGATGGCGTGGTCACCAATGTCTAACTACTTTGGAAGTCATACTTGAGTTCTAAGGTGTCAATGAGATATTTCGTAATATTTTGAAGAGAAATGAAACCCCTTCTGAGCGCTTCCGCGGAGTTTAGCCTTCAGGCATGAGAAATGAAGCAACAGAAATTCGAGGCATTCAATAGCACAATGGCTCTTATGAGATGTTGGCCTCAATTAAGGCAGCGTCACAGGTTCAAGCCAACCAAGCTGCCAGAGATATCTTTTATCAGGTGTCCCGTACCAATGAAATGGCAAAAAGAAACGAGCAGGCCTTTCAATTTTGGTGAAACGGGATATATAGACCTTAAAGAGAGATGAGAAATACGAGAAAGCACCGTCGTCACTTCGTGCTGTCATCTTAAACCAATGGGGGCTCGCCTCGCTCCGTCCGCCACTGATTTGTCGCCTGTAACGCCCCCGGCAGTCCTCTGAAAAGCCATCCCCACTTATGCAGAAATCCTTCTGACATCTCCCATCCGGTGATTTCCCATGGTGGTGACCAGGCAATAATGCCACGTTGTTTGATCTCGTCGTCGGGGAAGCCCTCGTACAAACCACCGATGCAGTCCGCCCACAGCTCGTCCTCGTCAAAGGTGCCAGAAGCCTGAATCAGACGATCTCTTCCCTCGGGACTGGGGAAAAGATCAATCCAGTCGCCATGTGGCACCGTTTGTTGAAGGACGGTGGGCAGGAGCGCCTTAGGGAGAAGCTGTGGTTTGTAAGGGTAGGGGATAATGTGAATCAGCTCCTCGTCGCATTCAAGAGGCGCGTCGAGGATGCCTGAGATCAGAGTGCGATTAACAGCTAGTGCACGTAGGGCATTGAACTGTAGGAGTGTGATGAGGTGGTCTGGACAGAGAGGGAAAACAACATTGAGCTGCCGGCCTGTAGACCTCCCGGATAGCAGGGGTTTTCTCTCATCATAGCTTTGCTTGATCCGCGACAATGGAACGAGGCACACGGACTCCTGCTGATTGTCCCAACATTCAACAGACGCTTCGGGCTCAATCAATGAACAGCTTATGGTTGTAGATGCTTTGGCCTTTTCCCCAAGGGCTTTGCGTTTACCTGCACTGGCTGTCAGTCTCGATACCGAACCCAATTTGATCAAATGTCCCTCCTAATTTGTTTAACGTTGATGAATTTCCTACGGAAAGTAGGATACTAGTTGATACTCACGATATGCCCTCGTGTTAAGTCTTGTCTGTGCCCGACGGCGCGCTGCGGCATCCTTTGTTCCAGTCCAGTCGTCACCTGTGGTTCTCGCCTACAAGCAATGAGCGAATCATGTCATCTTCAAAGATTGAGTCACAAGAACCTCAGCTAGTTGTGGCATCGAAGTCAGTTGGATGTGCGGTGCCATCAAACTTGTCGCCTGATTGGTGTCCATCATGGCCTGAGCTAATGTCCTGGGTCATAGTGAGATTGTTGGTGAATAATGTAAGTTGGTCGAGGCCCGAAGGTCTTGCAATGCAGCCTGCTCACATAAATGGGTTTCATGGGTGTCACTGGAGTGAGGGTTTATTTACGCTTACTCCTTGGCAAAGGATGAGGCGCAGGTAGACAGTCTACTGTTAAACATGCAACATCATTTGTCGATGTTGCCATTTCGGACCACAAGTGGTCTAGCGTCATGCAACCTGCTCACATTGACTCTAGGGCAGAACGGGATTACGACTCCAGTCACATCGCATTTGAATGGTGCTCCCGCCGAGCCCTATCATGTCGAGGGGAGTTCGGCATTGAACCGCTGACTCCATGCAGGTGGCTCACAAATCCCATAGGAGTTCTCCCACAACATCTGATTGCAAGAAATCCGACATGAACATACAATCACTGATCTGGAAGTCATGCAAGTGACGCACAACGCCCGGTGCTGCCGGAATGGCAATAACGTTCCACACTCAATTTCGTCACTCACGACAAGAACTATAAGAACCAGGACAAATTGACAAAAGCTTGCCTGGATGTTGGTTCGCAAGCATTGCAATAATCACACCTCAACGCCACACTACGCTGGAAATTTCTCTTCCAAAGATGGCGTTCCACCCAGACAGTCTCCCCGATCTCGAGGGCAAGATATTTATAGTGACAGGGGGGAACTCTGGCATGTGAGTCGCTTTCTTTTTTCCCCACACGAGAATCGGTCAACTAATGACAAAACTAAAGAGGCTACCACACCGTTGCTCGCCTTGCGGAACATGGCGCTCATGTCTACATGTGCGTCAGGTCATTGGAGAAGGGTACACGGGCAATCGCTGAGATTAACGAAAAATGCCCCTCGGCGAACGTTGACCTCTTGCAAATGGATTTGACGGACCTCGCCACCGTTGTTGCAGCTACCAAACATTTCCTCACTCTCGAAACAACGCTGCATGGGTTGGTCAATAATGCAGGGATCATGGCCACACCCTTCGAGATAACCAAGGATGGACACGAGGCCCAGTGGCAAGTCAACTACCTCGCTCATTGGGTCTTGACGGAACATATGCTTCCTTTGATGCTACAAACATCTAAGAATCTCGCCCCGGGCAGCGTACGCATCGTCAATCTTACTTCATCGGGCCACTTGGGAGCACCCAAGGGCGGGATTAACTTCAACGACCCATCCCTAAGAGAAGGGAATACTTGGACACGATACGGACAGAGCAAGCTGGCCAACATTTTGCATACAAAGTCTCTGCATGAGAGATATGGGCCCGGCTCTTGCAGTGCACGAAATGAAGAGGGCGAGATCTGGGTTACATCCGTGCACCCTGGTATGGTCGAAACAAACATCGCAGCCCCGGCGAGGGAGTCACGGTCGATCATAATGATTGTTTTCTCGTTCTTTCGAGTGCTTGGCTTCGTATCGCCAGCTGATAAAGGTTCTTGGAATAGCGTCTTCTGCGCGGCAAGCGAGGAAATGGAAGCTGAACAAGCCGGTGGCTACTTGGAAATATTCCGGCGATTCGGGGAGCCTAGATGGCAGAGTAGCGCAGCAAAGGATGTGGGGCTTCCAAAAGAGCTGGAAAAATGGACGAGGGGCGTGATGAGAAGAGAAGGATGGTCTGGGGAGTAACCGTTCCGTGTTGGCGTGGGCAACATGTGTAATCTAGTCCAGCACGAAGTACACACAGTCACACACACGTGATGTCAGGCTCCTTGGCAACGTTCAAACTTGTACCGTGTTGTTGTCATTTCAATACTCAACGTTTCGTACGGATTCTGAATTTAAGTCGTTTAGTTCGTCATAGCGGAGATAGACTGAGTCTGGTCAGATGATAAAGATGTTGTGTATAGACACTAACAACCATGTAGCTATTAGATGACAAGGTGGTGTTTTGTAAAGGCCAAGACTACGTTACCGGCTCTGCAAGTGATAGAGATCCGGCTCGGAGTCGAATATCGATCAAGGCAAATTTGCCTGACCTAAGTGACTCTGACTACAATGCCTGGCGTCAAATTAAGCGAAGTCTAACTTGAACCGGCAAGACGAAATCCCCCTTGAGTCATTTTAAGCTGCATGTTGGTCGTATCTGCAGCGACTTGCATCTCTTGCAAGCTCATCACCGGCCCTGCAGCATTCCTTGTCTTCGCATCCAGTCCGTTGAAAAGTGTTGCCAGCATTGAGCTCTTCCAGGGAGGCCTGTCGCTGACGCTCGTTTGTATGATTATCAAAGCAAGGAAAACCGCTGTAAGCAACACCATCGCCGCTGGCAACGAAAGCCATGCCCAGTTGACGTGGACGCAGGTTTGTTGCTCCCACACAATGCCCCGCGCAGGGCCTACTCGGATACTCTTATCCCCATCGCCATTCCGCCACCGTGCTGTTATCGAATCAGCCAGGCCTCTCATGGCATGCTGCACAGTATCACGAGTCGCATTGCCGCCGGCCTATAGATTTACGGACCAAAGGTTGCCTGTAGCCCTGCTCGTATGGATCCCACCAAAGAGTTTTGTTGCCGAGCAACGAAGAAATAACCGCTGCCAAGCCAGCTGTTGGGGCGTAGAGGATAGAATAAATGCAATCCGAGGGCCACCAGGTGGTGTAGTTCCAGTAATTGGAGGATTTGTTGGTAAGAACCTCAATACCCCGATCCAACAATGGTACCAGGGCCTGTGGGAAATGCGATGATCGGTAAATTGTTATCTTTAGATGGGCCGGACAGTCCTTGGCATTCGTGCCAAACCCCATTTCTGATGGTTCTGTTGGCGCGGAAAATGCTATGCGTGGCAAATGGAATAAGCTCGACATCCATACGCTGTGTTTCGACCACATGTTCTACGAGAACGCCATTCATGACATTGGAGCTCCAAGTCGTTACGGCGGGAAAAGATTCGCCCCCAAAGGCCTTCATTGACTTGTTGGAAACGGTCGAAGCCATCATAAAAGAGATCTTCGCGAGGAAATTCGATGGTGTCCCATTTGAGGAGCGCCGTACACCCGACTGCATTACGTTGTTCGTAATGTTGTCGAGGGCTATGTCATATTCCAGCAAGCTGGCAGTCTTGTAAGTATAGGTCTGGTTATTGAAATTTCTGATGGAATTCAACGAATGTGATATTTTGTCGCTGATGTCCGTACACTGGCTTTGTAGCGAAAGTGACATGAAGTGGCACCGTCTTCGGTAGCCGTGAATGCGCAATTTCCCGTCCTACACGTGTAGCTGACGGCGGCAGAAACATTCGAAGGGGGGTCAAGTAGCCCTGCGTATATAGCTGACTGCATTTGTGGTTCAATTGCAGGCGTGCCCGATGGCCGTCCCATGATACCATCAGTGTAGTTGTTCGAGAATGAAATTGCTCCAACCTCGTCGTGCGCCATCACTGAGCAGCTGTGGTAATGAAACAAAAGGGTCCACGGCCGTGGCGAAAACTGTAAGAATGGCGCCGAACACGGCGAGATTCCGGCCCCTGAGGGTGAAAATCAGGAGAAGGGATCCCCACGGGCCTACAACGTGGAGCACGTCAGTACATGGAAGCTACACCGCAAATGTTGGTTGGAACCCGAGATCATACAGTGCGGTCACTGAACCGAGAGAAAACATGAGATGAGCGGACGAACCTCGACTTGCCATGTCCCACTGCGCGATGAGTTTCATAGGCCTTGACTTCTCGTACCACAACCATTTCAACTGGCTCAAGCCCTCGGCTATCGGCATCATCAGGCACGCCTTTAAAATTGCGCTGAAAATGGCAATAAGAGCGTTTATGGTGATCATCGAAGGCCACTTGGGTAGCGTTCGGTCTTGGTGGAGGAGAAGCGTAATGAACATCGCCGCCAAGGCAACGGTAGCAACGGCGATGCTTAGCACCTCCCACACCCAGAACCGATTCAATAGGCTGTCTCTGGAAGAAAAGATTCTGCCACGAATTTCCGAGGCAGATCCATCATGGTCTTGAACTGGGGAGTATGTGTGCGAGCTGCCATCTTTTACTGAGTTGTCGCCAGACCCATGAAGTCTCTGTGTTGATAGTCCAGAGTCCGATGGGCTGTTCTGTAGCTGGATGTGGGTAACGGCTCGGAGTCCTCGAATTCTTGAGTCGTCCATTGCGAGAAAGAAGTAAGATAACCTTTAGTATGGGATGGGAAGCTCCCATGCGTCAATATCTGATTGTGTGAAGACCTCGATCTTGCATTTTGTGCGTGGGCCAGAAGACTTCAACATCTGGAAGGAAAGAAGACGCTGCGGGCCATGCCATGGGACGGCAGGATCTCTACATGTCTCTTAAAGGCCCTCAAGAAAGCTTTCCGGTATTACTAGCGCGGAAGATCATGCAGGGAATGGGACATAATGGACGCTTGAGGGCCAATAGAAGCCAAAGTTGTCGGGGACTGACGATGTTGATTTGGTGCACAGCATTAGACCCCCTCATCGACCAATGAAACATGCTGCAGCGAATTAAAAAGGTATGGTTATCCCTACTAGGTCTTACTGTACCGTGAGATAGTATCCGCTTTCTCTTAATGCAACCCTGTACATACCAAAGTACCTTATGTGTACAACGAATTCCACCAGTGACATGCCTTTTCAGCACAAATGCAAGAGATTATAGACTGATTGTTTTTTTAAGCAACTAGCATACTTAAATAGCAAAAGAAGGCGTAAAGGGCTGGGGAAGTGGCCTGTCTCAAGATGAGATGAACCCTATGATTGTTAACGTGCTCATAGCATGCCATCTCTGAATTAAAAGGGGTGCAATAGCAGGCTTGACTCACGATGTGAACATAGCAACCAGTAAATTTACAGGAAATCGTTTGTGAAAAAAGCACGCATCTTTTTATTCTCAGTCTGGGGCATATGGCCTACAACATCTTAGTTCACAGAGTGAGCTGGTAATATCAAAGACCATTAATCTCTGCCAGTGACGTTGCTTCTGGAAGTCAGTTGCGCCTCCCATATTTTTATTAAGACTAAAAACTCACATGCCTACCTAGGTAGTAGTTCAGCCATCTTGTTATTTGAAGGGTTACTCTACAGACCTTCAAAAGTTTAATGAGAATAGCTGCAAGCCTTACTTCCGCAGCAATGCACTTGGACGTCTTGTACCTAGATACGCTAGGTTCTTGAATTCAGCATTAACGCGAACCATGATCCTTCCCAAGAGGTCTTTTCCCGAGCTCTCCTGTCCAATGAGACGCAGGTAGAGAGAATATAATTGCTGATCTTGTAACTCACCGCCGGTGAAACGGAGGCGGACTCTCTTGGTGAGACTTTCATCTGCGGGAACGGACGACGACAGTGAAACTACTGCTGCGAGAACGGGAGGGAAGGGAAGATGAGCATACACTTCAGTGCATCCGCTGGAAGAGTGCCCCTCCTAGGCTCATTTGGTGTGTGACTTCAACTCTGTACTGCGACTTGTTGCATTTTAATTGCTGCCGCCTTTGCCGCATCTATATACTTTTGCTGCTGAAAGTCAGCACGATGTCCTTTGGCGGTCCCCGGAAGCATGTTTCCACGAGAAGGCTGGCAGCTACCCAAATAACGTGACCAAGAACCTGGGGCCGTTGCTGCCGGATCCTGTATACTGTTCTCTCTTTGGTCGTGCAGCCGATCGAAGCTAGTCACAGTACTTTGAAGAAGCAGGCACGGAGAAATCCTCGTGTCTAGTTTCCCAGCTCTCTCGGCTTCTAAGCATTGCAAATTCCCTGCAAGGCTGGCGCCTATGTTACGGTTGTTGGTATGTCTTGAATGCGAGCTGGCACATCGCCGGCCTGTGTGCTTGGCGACAGCATCTTGCTCGCGCATTTCCCCAAAGAATCTCCGTATAAGGCCTCTCACTTCCCTCCGACCTTTCCGGAATGTAATCTGACAAGGTAGTCTGACATTGACATAGTTCATGATGCTTCGGCCCTTTGGTGATCTGGCGAGAGAGGCACGGCACATCAGTTCACCTGTCGACTAATCAACGCCCACATATTGGAGATCTCAATTGGATTGCCTAGTCCGCAACAAGAAAGCCATGCGTATTTGAGACCAACCTTAACCCAACGTGCACGCACCCAAACCCGGCGGGACGGACGCACCGACGGCGGTCGCCAGTTTGCGGTGTCGTTCGATGCAATTTCCTAGTTTTCGACTAACATTCGCAAATTTGAAGTACTAGCGATCAGTTATGTGCGACTGCTGCTTATGCAGGAGGAAGGCATGCGCAGCGACGCCGACGGAGACAAGTCGTACTAAAACGGCTGATCCGCGTCTAAGTTGAGTGAAGCAACGAAAGCGAAAGTCAATAAATTGAGGCTTGCCAGTTTAAACTCGCCTCCCCGTGGAATGGATAGTTTGGAGCCTATTTCTATCCGTGGAAGCCCACCATTCAGTCCAAAACCACCCGTGCGAAGCTCGTGTCTAGCATTCGACATGTTGTGACGGATGTTGCGGAGCCTCCCGTCGGAGTAGACCATAGCAACGAAAGAATCATACTAAGAATGGTTTCCACACCAAGAGCGTTGACGCTGATAGTTACTGCAGCTGCTGAACCTATAGGATTTGACCTACTCAATAAATTACAGAAAAAGAATTTTTGATGTCAAGCTAATTCGGATCATTCATAAATTTGGGATACTACATAGAGACTTAGCAACCCGCCTGGAAAATGATTGTTAATTAAGTCTCACACGATTCTTGCTCGCTTGCTATGTTTTCAAAGTAGTGACTAGATCCAGGCTGAAAATAGCCTCATACTAGGGAGGTGTGTCACAAGAGTTAATATAGAAGCCCAACTTAAGGGAAAGCATAATGCAGCATGCTCTGGAAAGCGTTAAACTTATACTTAGAACAGATGTCACCAAGCTAACACGTCACAATGAGTACATGTGGTTTGAGATCTATAGCAAATGGCCAAGCAGCAGCTGCGTTGGGTCATCTGGGGACACACAGACCTGATACAGACCCAATAAGTACAATCGGGAGTGCCAACGTCAGTTAACAGCATCCGCATCCCGGCGTACGGCTGAAAACTTAGATTTTCAACGCTGACCCAAGGGGGCATGAGTGCGGCACAGAAGGGAATGTTGAAGCAAAAAAGTCGATCTGTGCACTCGAACCTGGGCAATACCATGAGGCAATTTGTGGGTTAGCCTCTCTCGGATGGGCTGCCTCATCATGGCATCTGGCCTCCGCAAGGCTGTAAGTGCTGATCCGTCACTGTCACAATACAAAGGATTCGTAGAATATCTCATCGAAAGCCAGTCTAGGTCTCTAGACCAGTTTGTGGCAGGAGTTGAAATCGAGAATCTCATTCAATCAAAAGACAGTCGTCACTACGCCTTGGTCAGTATCATCTCACTATGGCCCTATCACCACCTAATGCCAAACCACTGGAGAAAATCTTCCTCTTCGGCGACCAAGCTTACAGCACCCCGAAACGCGATCTCAAGCGCTTGCTAGACGATGAAGCCTTCCAACAGACCTTCCCTGATCCCTCATCGCCCTTCTCCCTCTTCATTCATCGCTGCGAGAGTGCAATCCAGCGCGACCTGGCCCAGTTCGTCAACCCCATGAAGGTCAAACACCTCTGCCTTTCCGGCACCCTGGCCGACATGCTCTTGCAGTGGCATTACCGTAACATTGGCTACTCCCACCCGCACTACTCCGACCGCGACGATGCCCACCGCTGCTTAGCGCTGGATATGGCGTTGCTTGTCGCATATCAGGTGCTGCTATTCATTCGACATGTCGAATCTTCCCCATCAGCGGGACATTACGGGAACGCTACTGTCATAGGCACTTGCACCGGGGCACTGGCTGCTGCGGCGGTGGGGTGCAGTGCCGACTTAGCGGAGCTGGTCCCGTTGGGCATAGAGGCTGTCCGGGTTGCCTTCAGGGTGGGTCTGGTCGTGGATCGGGCGGCACGGGATACCGCACCAGCCACAGGCACGAAGCAGCCTTGGAGCATGGCGGTGTCGGCAGCGGATGAGCGCACGTTTCAGGGTATGCGAGTCTTCCTGCAGCGGCTCGCGGGTAAAGTTGGGAACACTGCCAGCAGCTGGTTACAAAAGGTTGACAATAGGAAACACGAGGCAAGAACAGGGTCATACTGGGTGAGCGCATGGGGGCCGAACTCGGTAACGGTGTCGGGGCCGCCGGAGGTGCTAGCGGAGCTGGCGGACTCGGACGGGCTAGCGGTGCCCGGCGTGAGGATATTGCCGATACCGATATTTGGGCCGTTTCATAGCTCATTGCTCCACACGAAGGAGGATGTTGCTAGGTTGCTGGCGTTCCTGGACCCAGCGGTGGCGAGGACGCCTGCATGTCTGACGGTAATCTCGGCCTCAACAGGCGAGGCCCCAGAAGAGGCCGTTGACTTCGTCTCACTTATGCGCACTGCTGTTGATGACATGCTTCTACGTCCGCTTCGCTGGGACCTCGTGCTACAGCGGTTTTGTGAGCGCGCCGAGACGAGTGAGAGTGGCACTGGGTTGCCGGAAGTTATCTCGATCGCGTCGTCCGCGGGACAGTCTCTCAACACAGCCTTGAGCCAGGCACAGAAGGGAACACGAAAACCCCGCAAGGTAAAAGATCACGACCTGGAGAGTACGACAATTCACCGTGTCGTAACAGAGGCAGACTTGATGGTGGGAGACGGGCTATACCTGGTAACGGAGGCAGATCTGGCGAGACCGGATCTGAGGGAGGCAGTTCAGGGGCATTTGGTAGAGGGAAAGCGGCTATGTACGCCGGTGAGTTTTCATTAATGGTTCTGAGTTGATCGAAAACGGCGCTGACGTAGACGAATGGTAGTCCGTCTTCGCTGACATTGCCATGACGCTTGGAAATTACCTTATTGAGATACTGAAGAACCGCGAAAAGAAACATACGCTCGGCGCTCATAAGCAGCCCGCCCAAACGCATGCATATCTCGTCACTATTGCTGACTTGAGTGTCAGCAAGGCGTTAGTTGCTGGCAACAACGGTCCGGGGTCACAGCTGCTACAATGCCATGCATACGCCGACTGGACTGTTCGTACTGCTCGGTGCAAGTTCGCCGTTGTGAGCGTGAGTGTTCCTACCTAAGCTCCTCACAGAGTCATGGAACATAGTCTGACGGAATTGATGGCAGCGCTCTGGCAAGCCCCAACAGCACGCCGAATGCACCATTCGTATCACCGACGTCTCCATTCTATCCCTTTTTGAACAATACTCTTCCGGCGAATCTCATCGTATCAATGTGTCCTCTCTGCGTTCCCGGCCCGGCACCACTCACATCTCCGGCAGCATGGCCTACAGGGTGGTCTCCTCTCTAGCCGAGTTTCACCGCAATCACCGACTCGTTCAATCTCTGGTGCTCGACCAGCACACACATGAGATCGCCGCCCTCATCCGTTTCCCCGGCGATCTTTCTGGTCATGGCGACTACACTGCGCACCCAGCGATAATCGATGCCTTTACGCAGCCAGCTGGGTTCTGTCTCAACCTTGACGACACGACCGATCTAGAGCACACCGTTTACATCAACCACGGCTGGGAGGATATGCTCCTGTTCGAGGTAATCGACATGGGGCTTGAATACACGGTGTATGTGCGCATGCAACAAGTTGGCCGGACACGGAAGTGGACGGGTAACATCATTGTCCTTCGCGAGGACAATATCGTGGCGGCTTTCCTACAGTATTCCGTGAACGCTTTCCCGCGGCGCGTGTTCAGCAATATGCTGAGCCAAGAGACCAAAATAGCTGAGAAGATGGCCACAACATCCTCAAGGGTGCTGCAAACAGCCGTGCCGTGTAGTCCGCCCCAGACGCCGAAGCCGCCGAAGACGCTCAGAATACAGACAAAGCCCGCGGATGGGGCGGGCCAGGGGATCTTCCCTCCAAGCCCGGTGTCACCAGATGATATGAGCAGGAAAGGGCCGTCTGTATCTCCACAACGAAACCAACAGTGGTTGTACGGTGGCGACTCGCCTACGATGGCGACTTCTTGTAATGCAACACCACGTAGCTTCGACATGTCCCTTACCATCCCCGACGTTCAGACACAGGACAAATCATCCACCATCGCCATTCCCCCGTGCAAGTCTGTTATCCTCCAAGGCTTCCCAAAGACCGCCCACACAATTCTCTTCCTTTTTCCTGACGGCTCCGGCAGCGCTACATCGTACGCTTCTCTTCCGCCCGTTGGTGTTGGCGTCTGCGTCGTCGGCCTAATGTGCCCGTTCCTACGTGGCGACACGGCCACGATGGCGTGCGCGCCGCTCGACCGGCTCTTAGGCGAGGGCTACCTACCTGAGATATTGAGGCGGCAGCCGCCGTCACCTCAAAAAGGATATGTGCTCGGAGGCTGGTCTGCAGGCGGGTCGCTCGCGTTTCGGGCTGCACAAATGTTGGGCGAGAGAGGTTGCAGGGTCGCGAAGCTGATGCTGATCGATGCGCCGCCGCCTCACAACGGTATGGATAGGCTGCCGAGGCATTTTTATGAGTATTGTGAGCGATTGGGTGTTTTTGGCGGCTGGGGTGAGGGTAAAGGCAACAGTGACTTGCCAGCGTGGTTGATACCGCACTTCGAAGGGACAATCGGACTGCTCGAGAGATACTGCGCTACGCCATTGGTAGTGCCACTGGGACAAGAACTGAGAGTAGACGTGATCTGGGCAGGGGAGAGCCTTGTTGACCGGCCGGGGGCGCCGCCGCTATCACCACATCCGGATGATACAGAGGGAATGAAGTTCTTGACAGTGCAGAGGAAGGATTTTGGGCCGAACGAGTGGGTGAAGCTGTTGCCAGGGGCAAATATCATATGCCACAGAGTTGAGGGAGCGCACCACTTTTCGTTGATGGTAAGTCTGCGTCTGGGCCCATCTCAGAATTTCCTTTTCATTTTTAAATCTTCGATCATTTGCTGATGGAATCCACTCAGAGAGAGCCATTTGTATGGCGACTAGCACAGTTCGTGAGTGAAGGCCTTCAAGATGTGCAGGGGACAGGTGCGCCCCGCAAATGGACGCAGCATGGCCAGTGATACGTTTGTTTTGGCTTGATCGACTCAATGCGAGTTGTTCGGGCCCAGAGATCAGTTTTCTGGCCCGCAAGACGACCGGAACTTTATTTAGAGTGATAGCTGCAATTTCTTCATACATATTTATTGTAAGCAGGATAAGCAACCTTTACCTCCTTCCCTGTGTATGCTTCTGCTGTCAACAAGGTCATCTGTCTGTAGATGATGAGTTGTCCATTGAGCTCTTTATCACTGTTGCTTCCGTTTTAGTATGCATGTGGTGAACGTTCGGAAAACAACTTCCAGTCTTCTTCTGATGTGAAGAGTCCTGATCAACTTGAGTTGCCAAGTTTCGAACCACTACCACTTGTATGTGATAGTATGGTTTTCTTTCTTATCCAAAGGGCTTTCAACTATTGGCAGTGCAAGGCTGGAAATATGTCATTCACCTCACCACACCGTTCCAGAATAAACTTAGCTTGTACGTTCGGCGAAGCCATCATTCTGAGTGAGGTATTATGAAAGAACCCTGTTGATGTCATTAGATTCGAATAATGCTATGTGAGCTTCGGAGGGGCAACGTGAGAAGAGCGCGCTATTAGTACCTACGTACTAAACTCCCTTGCTGTAGAATAGTACTCGCAAGTATGCTCGCATGACGCCGTCCTTCGGGTACACTGGTAGTTTACTGTGAAGGCAGTTTGCCAAAATTGTAGGACGCGTCAAGCTAGCGACAGGACACTCTTACAACTCCTATTACTACACGCCAACCTCGGTCACGCAAGGCGATCTAGTTTGCGGAGTGAGATTCACACGTTGCTGATCGGTTCCTTGAGTTCAGGTACTCCTAGAAATGTATAAAACTAGGTGAAACCTGGTCGAACAGACTAATTTCGCCCAGACACAGCTCAGCCCATTATCCAGCTGTGCTGTTAGGGTTACATATTAACTTCAAAGTAGCCCTGCACGGAGTCTTCCGTGGTAATTTTATCAGATAACTTTGACACAATTCATCTGAACTGCGATAGGCGATTCCCTGACATAGCCTTTGGGTGGCACGGCTTTGACAGCCTCGCAATTGTCCGAGCATATCGGAATGTCTCATCCTAAGTTATCGACGTGTATCCCGCAAAGGGCTCATGAGTATTTTCCGAACTTTGCGCTAGCCACTTGCATAGATGGTGAGTTTCATTGCGCCGATTTATTGAGTGTCTCATCTGAGTATCAAGTGTCTGCAATCCCACCAATCTCGGCACCCAGGGGGGCTTTCATTAGCCCCATCAATGAATACAATGCCGCTACTACCCAGCTTTCTTAAGTTCATCTACAGCTGCCGCGGGATACAATTGTATTGGTTCGCTGATCATGGTGTTAACCGTGGTGCAAAAGCATGCGTGCGAGGGTTGCACTAATAACTCTAAAACAATATGAACCAACCCCCGGCCAACACTAATAATGGGTTATGTTTCTGGAGACTGCAAGTACATGTGACGCGGACCAGACCTAAAGTAACTCTCAACCTGAATTAAGAGGTGGTGACTTGCGGAGATTTGCGACAGACATTCCGCATCAGGTTGCTTTTTGCAAAGGTTGCAGTCGTGTTAGCGAGGCACCTCGCTTTCGCGTCGCTGAAGATTTCACTGTAGCCTATAAAGCTGAAGTACTTCCTCTTATGGAGATTAATGCGTGCGAGACGGACCGCTTGAGGAGAAATCCTAACCATAGGTTTGTTCCAATACTTCCAGATTACCTTGTTTGCTTCCTAAATAAGTAGCACAGGCGGCGTGCAATCTACATATTTATCATCGCTTGACATGTTCACCAGCTGTAATATCATTTGCTGTCACCATTCAAACATCTTTCTTCACGACGTATCATACCTCATAAACCATGGCTCAGATAATTCGTCAATCGGCTGTCACGTCATTGCCCCAGCCGTTGAGCTCGGGAGCCTCACAGAAGAGTCAACACACCCGCTCGTCGATGCTTGCCCAACTTCATGGCCAGCGAATACGTATACCAGACCTTGGAAAGATGATGGAGCATTGGACCAAAGAAATGAATCGACACGCCAACATGGTGGAGAGCAAAGTTACGAATATCATAGAGAAGTAAGAAGATCCACGGAATGTCAGGAAAGAGCATCTCAAAGCCTGATTAACTCAACTACCAGTCACGCGATAAATGAATCCGTCCGAGCTCGCCTTACCAAAGCCAAATTGGCCGACCAGCTAGCGGGCTGGTATCCCTTCGCAACTTGTGATACCATGACAGCCCTTACATCCTTTCAGGTCTGGATGTTCATAATCGACGACCTTCTCGATCAATACTCCTTACCTCAAAGGTTTGACTATGCGGCTTTGCAGATTCTACTTGCCGACTGTCGCGACTTCATTGAACAGAGTCTGGGACTATCGCAGAAGTGTGATAATGATGGATACGAGTATCGCGACCACGATGCTGTCACATCTTTCAAGGAGTATGCGGGCGCCGTCATGAAGAAATTTGGCGACAACCATGCCTACCGCTCGCGAATCGCGCGAGAGGCTATCGCTACTCTCGACGGCTACCGTCATGAGGCCATGAATCGACACGAAGGTCGGGTACCATCACTGGAGGAGTATTTAGGTTATCGGGCGGCATCATCTTGCATAATGCAGGTGGTCGTCAATTTCGAATTCGCCAACAACGTCCACATGCCAGAAGAGGTTACGAAAACGCCAGAAATGTGTCGACTGTATGAGTCCGCCGTGGCTATCTGTTTTATCTTAAACGATATTGTCAGCCTCCGAAAAGAGGTCAAAGAAGGATTTGTTGAGAACCTTGTGGTTCTTCTAGCTGGTGGTGACGTGCAAAGAGGGGTTGATGGTGCTGCGGCTCGCATGCAGCTGGAGGTGTACGCTCTTGATGCTGCTGCCGAAAAGGCCACTCGACGGTTCAAAGGCACACCTCATGAGAAAGACATCGAAGTCCTCGCCAACAACTGCAAAAACATGTGCAGAACCAGTTGGCTCTGGAGGTGTGTTATTCGTTATCTGATCTGAATACTACTGACAATCTGCGACAGTGTGCGGACTCCGAGGTACTGCCTTGCTGATATCACCCCGGATGCTGAAGGGGGTTGGGTCTTTGTAGTTGACGCAATGGGATGAGTACGTGTTCCTACACAGTTGAACAGGGTAGCTTTATAAAGTACACGCGATTGCTCCGCACTTGATTTCATGATATTGTCAAACGTGGTATTCACAATGAAGTCTCCATTCAGCAAGCTAAACGCGCGTTAAAGAACCTTATGATATGACCAGAAACATCAAGATATTTCAGCTCATAGGAGATGCAGGTCATATCTCAACAACCGGGAATCATACCTTGAAAGTGTGCCACTGGTCAAAGCAGTTTGAAGTATATCGTTTAGTATATTTAAGAAGGTGACGAATGATTCACCAAGCTACACATAAGCTGCCTAAGGCTGCCTTAGTTCCTAAGCTAAGGCTCTAAATCTCTATACATCTTCAGTCACTAGGAAGAAAGACGATGTACCAGGGCCTACCCTGTGCATCTACGTTTCGGTCCGTCGGATGATGGTCTCGAAGCCCCTGGTGCTACTCTTGAGGTTGGACGAGTCCAGAGTCGTAGTGACGACCAACTTGAACTTGACATAACCCTCATCTTGATAACGGCGGCATGTTCAAGTTCGGTACGCAGCGAGGCCTGTGGGAGAAGAATGGCACGCTTCGCGGCATGTGTGACAGTAGGGGAGAGAGAAACATTCGGACAGAGCATGATGAGACTGTGCGATTGACTGCGTCAGGCATTCCGTATGCCATCTAGATCAGTGATAACGGCAACTTTCTAGGCCAAGATCTAATCACTGGTAGTGGGTCATGCAGCATTGAATGCCACGGTCACAAAATGAATTACTTGTAAGCTGAAGCGAATGTAAGGACGAACAAAATCAACCCAGTAACTATTCAAATCGCAAAATCTCCAGCCCAAGCCCATAATACAATTCCTAGCCCAGCCGTATTCGTTCGACACGAAGCTTAATATTGAAACCCATTAGTTGAAGCCGCTGAAGTTAGGCCACCACGGCTTCGGCCAGACATCGCCAGGCTTGAAGTTGCAGGCCTTCCAGTGATCGACGCCAAGCCCCTCGGGTTTGGTCTTCTCCCCGGTGCAGCTCTTCGCCTTCTCCTCGCCGTTGATCTTGATGGTGGCGTCGGCGATGCCCATTCCGGCTCCCATAGAGATTACGCGGGACTCGATCGTCACCTGCCAGCCAAGCTCCGGCCCAGTGCCGTCGTACGACATGCCCATCTTTGCCTCGAAGCCCTTCCCAACACCCAGCGCATCGTAGGATCCCCAGTTGATCACGCGGTTGCACGCGCTGTCGAGGAGGAACGCGACGCGGTCGCCGTTCTCCGAGGTAATCCCGCCCTCAGGGTCGAAGGCGAGGTTGTGGCCCACGTAGCTGAGGAGCATCAGCTCGTCCTCGGCCGGGCGGTCCTCCGCGCACCGCGCCTGGGGATCGAAAGACGCTCGCTTGTGGACCTCTCTTGCCTCTCTGTGATAGGTCAGTTATCTATTTGGGCTGCGCTGTCGGCGGGTGGGCTTACGGCTTGGTGCGGGTGCCTTGCGGCAGACCGGAGACCATGGTGGCTAGGAGAACGAGCTGGGAAAGAGCTTGAGTGGCGTGCATAGTGAATAACGAATCAGGTGTTTGATAGTTGAAAGTTTGCTGGTTTAATAGTTGAAATTGATTTTCTTGAATGATGATTCTTCTACAATGAGATGTGAACTGTTGATGAAATATAAGACAAGAATGCGATTCACTCTGTTATAGAGTATCCTACTTATAGTTTTCGATTTTGCCCAAGATCATGGCTAGAACTCCACCATCAAGCTCTTATTAAGGTCTCCATCTGCTTTTCTGGGACTTCCGCACGCCAAGAACTGAGCTGGCCGTGATGAGGTCGCATATCCCAATTTGGAGATCTTGGCATACGAATTGTCAAGTTCCTTTTCTTACACAAGGCAGCAGGGAAATAATCCTACGACGGTTTATGTTGAGTTACGAGAGCTTCAATTAATCGCTGGCGACAACTTGGCAGTGGCTGATTGCCTCCTTGGCATGATGCAGTTAAGATTAGGCACTGCTTGACTGATGGGACTTTTGGCATCCTGAGAGCAACTCCATGGAAAGTCACGTCGGCAAAGAGAGCAATTCGTCGTCTGCCTATTTTTCTAAGGACAGGGATGAAGGTGAGCGTCTAATTGTCGCCCGCGTACTGATCTGCGACCCGCAACGCATGGATACGATGGGGGCGCAGTCCATGGGACTTTGGTGCAAGCTGAGAACTTTGGTGACAGCTGCACCCAACTTGAGCCCTGCGTTTAGGCTGTCGTTCCTTCAGCAGCCTTGGCCGCTCCGCCGATCAGCCCGTCGGAATGCGTTCAATGCTCGAGTCGGCTGGTCTAGGTGTAAGCCAAGGGAGGCTGACTCTGGCCGAACCAGAAATCATGGCGACATTGCACCTAGCGACTGTGTATCATTGAAGTCTTGGAACCTGTATACAGCCTGTTGCCTAGATTGCACTGGAATAACTGCTTGCTCTTTTTGACTGTTGCTATTCTTCTGCCTGGCAGATGGGCGAATAACACCATCATGTGATCCCTGCAACACTAGGTACTGGCAAAGTGACGAAACGACATGGTAAGTATCAGACCATGTCCCTGAAGGAAAGGCATTCATCAAAGTGATAAACATGGTTCGGACCCGGTGCGTATGTGTCACAAATACCTGACCTTTCGGCGAGCAGCCCGTGGTTGTCTTGAACGATGCCTTGGGCCACTAGCTGCCGGTAAAACAATCAGAGGTGGGTCGGTCTGGAAGATGATGGTGCGGGGAGAACTTGCAGGGCGCTCGCTATGCCGGCAATTGAGCATGGGAGACAATACGGCGGACTCCGAAACAACGAGGCGCCTGATTCTGCCGCAGTGCCAAATAATTTTGACTTCCTTAACGAGTGGCCCTTTGGTGGTGACTTGCTGCAAAAGCTATACACAACTTTACCATCCGTATTAGCTGAGTTAGCACGGAATGTGGTTTACATCGCCTCGGCTTGGTTTCATGCTGCTGTGGTCTGTACATTGTTTATTACCTTCAATGATTATATCAGAAGATCGTGGCTGCCGTTGCATTTAGGTGATTTCACGTGTGTCTTTAACGGCATGACAGATCCTGCGTTACTCAGGCCTGAAGATTAAGGTAACTATTGATTGCAATCTTTCGCCCTAATCCAAGAACTCATGGGCGACATGCCTGACAGCGACTAACAGTGTCTTCTAAAGGCGCTACGCACCTGTCGTCGCTATTTGTGCGTTTGGGAGATGAGTTATGAAATGGAGGTCTTGTGAATGATGAGACTGATCGCTCGAGTATGAAGTTACTGCCCCTAGTCAGTCTCTCGCAGAGACGGTTCGACCTGATGTAACTAATTGCTGCGCAGTGTTTCGGGGTAGGATATGACTGCAGACAGGAGGGAGGGTGTACGTATGGATAACAGGGGGCGGCGGTACTAGCGGGAAATTACCCTTCAGACGTTGACCTTGCGCAACAGCTTTGTGGTTGGTATAACTAGTCCTGTAGACTTTCTACGAACGAAATTGTATTACAGCCTAACAAGCAAGACCATCAAACAGTGAACCCGCAAAAGTAGAATGCGCCCTGGCACCAAAGGGTTCTAACTAAACCTGAACTCCAGGTCATGGTCTCCGGAAATCTGATCCGTCGGGCTGATGATCACTTGCACAATCCGCTTCCCAACATCGTACTCGTCCAAGAGCTTCTGCGTTCCGCCAAAGAAAGGCGTGTTTCCAAGCTGTGACCATGCGGTTGCAGCGGCGCCAGTATCCGCAGAATTGAGAACCACTGTTTCGTCCTCCTCGCGCCCAAGAGTATCGTACACCTTGCGAATCTGCTTAGATGTTTGCTTATTCACGATGCCTTTGCGCCGGATGGCCTCAAGGTCGGCCCGCCTGACGTTTGGCTGTATGTCCCATAACTCCATTTGAATGTCGCGCAGTTTGTATCTTTCGCTCTCGTCTCGCTCTTCCCATCCATTGTATGCTGCATATACCGTGATGACTTTGTTGCTGGTATCAATCCCAATTATGTCAACGGGATCATCGCCGTCATCATACGATTCGGTATGCACGTAGTATTTCCCGCTCGAGTAAGATAATGTGTAGCCCTTCTTCTCCTGAAGCAAGGTTAATAAGTAATAATCACACAGCCGTAACCTTCATCATCTGAAACTTACAAGATACTACAAAACTGATGTTAGCCGAGTGGTGGGCAGGAGCAGTAATAACAACAGGGATACTTACATCGCTCTTAGTTGGGGCCTGGGCTAAAGAAAGTTGCCCAAAAATGAGCGTAGAAAAAATCCACAAAAGCCACTTGAAGTGCATATTGACAATTATGAAGAAAATGACAGCCACGGTCTCAAACGAGTGAGAAGGACAAAAGGTCTAATGAAATGTATAACTCTGATGCCCTTAACAGGACGCATTAGGCCACTACAACCGAGGTGACCTATATATGTTTTGAAACTTTTAAACTCACCACTTCCAACCCTCTCACTTTTCATTTCAGCCCGGAAAAAATTAGTGATTAACGTTTGCTAAGATACCTACTGCATTTAATTCTTAGTTAGCACGGAAATAACCGTCACTGTCCCTTAAAGCAGGAGTGAGTCACTCAGGTGCACCGAGAACTTTGAAATGTAGTCTTAAAGGTCTTGTAGAAAGGTTAGGTCCCTGATATCTTCCTATAGTTAGGTAATAGGTTGTGATAAGTAGGAAGATGCAGGGACGTGGGTTGGTTATCCCACTCCTGCGCCGTGCGGCGGACAGCATCCGGACCTCGTCTTGGCATACGGACAATCCCGAACAGCCTGAGAGAATAGACACCGCACCCCCTTAATTAAGACTGAGTTTAAACGGCGCAATCTTACCAGCGCCCCGGGAAGTTTGAGTTCTTAGACACAGGTTTCCGTCTGGAGGAGGATAAAGACCTATAAACACTCCAGCGCCGCCAGACAATCTCATTGCAACAGCACATTGATTGAACATATTGTGCATACAGTCTTTACCAAATCAACACCTTCATCTCCTGCGTTGCAAGAAGGCATCCATTAGAACACCAGACAGGACGCCCCATTTTCTGTTACCGTCATTGACCATCTACTCATTTTCAAAATGATTAAATCGAACATCATATGCGCCAGCATTTCCCTCTTTTCGATCTTCCTCCAGCAAACATTCGCCTGCAGACAGGCCATTGTAACGTACTCCACGGAGTATGAATGTGATCTCGACCACTTCGACACAGCCATCGCGGAGGACTGCAAGAAATTAGCCGAAGGCGTCGGCAAGCAGGGAAAGAAGTTTGCGGAACCTCCGGTACCCGACTCGGTGGAGTGCCTGGAATGTGATCCCGACGGTGAATCAAGGAAATGCCGCTGTCTTCTCAGCGCATGGCGATTTCGCGATTGGGAGCCTGAGCCGGCTAAGTTTGATGATTTTCAGTACGAATACTGGAGGCCCATGGAGAACGGAAAGCTCGATGTCAGCTGCGATAAGTAGAGGACATTCGTGGAGATCGTTCAAGTGGTACATAACTCGGTGATTTATTACATAAAAGTATCTGTTAATCTTGATTGAATTCCGGTTAGAGTTTGTCCTATTATTCACCTGCTCCTCACACTTGAAACAATTTCAGTTTCCACTCCTGTGCGCCTAAAAAAAACAAAAATAAACAAAGCAGGAAGAGGCTAGATATAATTTTAGGCTAAATCTTTCTTCAAGTGAAGTCTCCTGCTAGTACGAAATATGAGGCTTATTTGCTGATAAAGCTTTCTTAGTATTTCTTATAAGTTATGCACTATATAGATTATGCCTTTTTAGGTGTATATATATATTAAATCACCTATTGCTGTTATAGGTTACTATAGTTTGAATATTTTTGCCTTTAGTTCTATTAAGACTAAGTAAGGCGGGAGGAAGCGTAAGGTAATACCTAGATAAGTGTTATAGTTAGCTATCTAACAGTAGGGTCTACTAATAGAAGTTAGGGATTAACGCGTTATAATAGTACACTAGGTTGTAGTCTAGGTTATAGGTTATAGGCTATAGTAGATTAGGTCTTTAGAGGCTAAGGTGATTAGTCTTAGACTTAATAAGTAATTTGCAGTGAAGGTAAGTGTTATAACCTATTATATATAGATAACAGTTAACTAACCTACTTAGGCAATAGGTAGCTAAGATAGGATATTTATACTATAGGATTAATAGGAATAATAGGGACTTACTTAAAATATATTATAACCTATAAATAAGGATAATAGTTAGCTGACCTACCTTAAGCGTTAAGTAGCTAAGATAGGATATTTATACTATAGGATTAATAGGAATAATAGGGACTTACTTAAAATATATTATAACCTATAAATAAGGATAATAGTTAGCTAACCTACCTTAAGCGTTAAGTAGCTAAGATAGGATATTTATACTATAGGATTATAGGAATAGTAGGGACTTACTTAGAAATAGAAGAACTATAGTATAAGTTCTATAATAATAAGATAAGACTAAGTAGATAGTATAGATTACTAAGTACTTAGTAAAGACTACTAAGTACTTACTAGTAATTACTAAGTACTTATTAGTACTTAATTAGGAATTAGTAAATTAAATAAAAGAACTATTTAAGACTTATATATAATATAACCTTAAGCTTAGTTTATAGTTAGATTTCTATAGCTCTTTAGTAATTAACTTAATATTTATCCTTATAGATACTCTTAGTTTAATTTTACTATAAATTACTTATTAAAACTAAGACTAATTATTTTAACCTCTAAAGATCTAATTTATAACTAACTTATAACTTATAACTTAAACTATAACCTTAGTATATTATTATAATATATTAATCTTTAGTTTTTATTAATAAACTTTACTATTAAATAACTAACTATAATACTTTAATTACTCTTATTTAGTAAATTAACTATTAATACCTATTAATAGTAAAATAATAAAGATATCTTTATATACTTCTATTAAGTTACTTACTCTAAAGACCTCCTCCTCTTTATAGTAATTAATCTAAAACCTAGCTAAAGAACTTAAAAGAACCTCTATAGTAGTAGACTCTAATAATAAAATAACTTTAAAAAAAGATATTTATAAATACTTTTAAACTAAAGTTAAGAAAAGAAATAATAATATTACTAAAGTTTAAACTATATATAATAATACTACTATAGAACTTTAAAACCTTAAAGAAATAATATAATAACTAGGAAATAACTTCTAGTATATTATAAACTTAGAAAATAAAATTATTTAATTTAGAGGATAAAATAATAGTATTAATATTAAAAAACTCTAAGAAGAAATTTATATTTTATATATAATTACTAATATTATTATAACCTCTATTAGAAAATAATAGAAGTTTAAGTTTAATACTCTAATTACTTATAATAATACCTTTAAATAACTTAAGTTATTCTTAATTTAAGTTAAAAACTATTAAAACTTCTACTATAAAGACTTTATTAGTTAGATTAAAAAAGTTATTTATATTACTACTTATTTATAAGAATAAACTTTTAAATAATTTAAACCTATTTAAAAAGAGTTCCTTAAATATAAAACTTTAGATAAATACTCTACTAAGACCTATAATATCTATAGTAGTTTTAAAGGATTTAAAGATACTTTCTACTCTCTCTTCTAAGACTTTAATAAGAAATAATAAATTAAGAGAGACTTTATATAACTATAATAGATAAAGTTAACTAAAAAATATATTACTATATTTAGATAACTTAGTATTTAATTTAATTTTACTAAAGAAACTAAGATTTTTATATTCTATTAAGAATTTAAAAATAAAGTTAAAGATAAGATTATTAAGATTAATTATCCTAAAGACTTTTTTTAATATACTAACTTTACTATTAAGATTAATAATTAACTTTTTAAATACTATAAAGAAAAGGGTAAAAAATAATAAAAACTAAACTTTAGATATAAGTATTAATAGTAGTTCTATTAGAAGTTTAACCTCTAGTAGAATAATAATAAACCTTATAATAACTAGAATAATACTTATTAGAATACTATTTATAGATAGTATAATAGATCTATAGATTTTAGTATAATAACTAAACCTAATAATAAAAAGTTTTAGAACTTTAAATATTATAACTATAATAAATAAGGATATTATTACAACCTGTTATATATAGATAATAGTTAACTGACCTACTTAGGCGTTAGGCGGCTAGGATAGGATATTTATACTATAGGATTAATAGGAATAATAAGGACTTATTTAGAATAGAAGAACTATAGTATAAGTTATATAATAATAAGANATAATAGGGACTCACTTAGAATAGAAGAACTATAGTATAAGTTATATAATAATAAGATAAGGAAAATAATTAGTAGAGTATAAGAAGAAATACTTAGTAATTAGTTAGTATTACTAATTAATTATAATTACCTATATATTTAGGTAATTACCTAAAAGTAGATAAAGGATATTATTTAGGACTTATATATAGTATAACTTAAGTTTTACTTAAGGTTAGACTTTTATAGCTTTTTAGTAATTAACTTAGTATTTATTTTTATAGATACTTTTAGCTTACTTTTATTGCAAATTACTTATTAAACTTAAGACTAATTACTTTAGTCTCTAAAAGACTTAATCTATTATAGCTTATAACTTATAACTTAAATTATAACCTTAGTGTACTATTATAATATATTAATCCTTAGTTTCTATTAGTAGACCTTACTATTAGATAGCTAATTATAATACTTTAATTACTCCTATTTAGTAAGTTAACTATTAATACTTATTAATACTTATTAATAGTAAAATAATAAGTATATCTTTATATACTTTTACTAAGTTACTTATTTTAAGAACTTCTTCCTCTTTATAATAGTTAGTTTAGAACCTAGCTAAAGAACTTAAAGGAGCTTTTATAGTAGTAGATTTTAATAATAAGGTAATTTTAAAGAAAGATACCTATAAACGCTTTTAAGCTAGAGTTAAGAAAGGAGATAATAATATTACTAAGGTTTAGACTATATATAATAATATTATTATAGAACTTTAAGGCTTTAAAGAAATAATATAATAACTAGGAAATAACTTCTAATATATTATAATATAAGGAAACAGCTACTAAGGGTTTAAAGTTAAGGCTAGCTATATAGAAAAAAAATCAATTTATATTAAAGGAGGTAGAAATAACTATAATTATAAAATTCTAAATATAGGTTTAGAAAACCTACCTAGTAAAAGCTAGTTCTTAGAATTCTAAACTTAAGTTTAGAAATCCTACCTAGTAAAAACTAGCTACTAAAATCCTAAACTTAGG